ACAAAAAAAAAAAAAAAAAAAAACACTAACTAGTTAAAAGCTATGGAAGCGATACCGTAGTAACTTCCTTTCCCACGAGCTGTTTCCATTAGAAAATGAGATGTTTGGTCCGCAAGCAAACACTATTGATTGAGAAGGCCGTATGAGGGTAGTTCTTCTAGTCTTGAAATGTCCTCGGCTAGGAGCTCTTTTTCTAGTTGTCGTCGTGTTGCTTTCATTACCGTCTATAAAGAGAGTAACAAAAAAAAATGAAGTATCAGCTAAGAGTGGAAATTTAAATGTCTAACTTTTAGGACATGTATAATAAACTTGAACCATTTAAGGTAACTTCGGTTAGGAATCACAACTCTCCATAATAGTATGATATTGTCCACTTTGAGCATAAGCTCTCATGACTTTGTTTTGGGGTTCCCCAAAAGGCCTCATAACAATGTAGATGTATTCCTTACTTATGAACCCATGATCATTCCCTAAATTAGCCAACGTGGGACTCCCTCCCAACAATTCTCAACAACTTCATCATCCCATCGGGTATGCTGAAATTTCAAATTAAACATCTAATTTCTATGCTTCTCGGGCCATAACATAGGGACAGGAAACACCCATGAATGTGCTTTCACTTCTCAAAAAGGTGTCAAGGATCAAGATTCCGGAGTGGCACAAGTTGAATGTATCATAAGTCAGTTTGGTTTGATTTGATTTGAAGAAATGTAACCTAAAGTTTGAGAGGATATTTATCGAATATAATACGTAAAACTGGGAACGACGCATATACCGATCAGCAGGCAAAGAATAAATTTGACAATTTCAAGGAAAATTCAAGTTCAGAACTACATACATTGAAGTCCATATATGATGCACGCATGGCAAGCCATTCATGATCCATTAGTTTGAACGTGATACAATAGAGTATGTCAAATGCCGAATCATTTTCTGTCAGGAAAAAAGAAATACCTAGATTAGTTGATTAAAAAAGAGATGCTTGTTTCGCATGGATAATTATCCATCAATATATTATGAAATCATCTAAGAAGATATCGTATAATCAATAGCTACACATAATCGTGACATTGAGAAACTACGAGAAGTAAAAGCATTTCACTCGGCAAATATGGCTTTCACTTCGTGCAAATACTCAACAAATTGGTGGCAAATTACCTGCAAGAAACTTCAAGAAAGTTGCTCCCACAAGTGTCCGTGGCTTGACTGCAATATAATTTCATGCCATTAGTTCGTGAGAAAGGGGAAAAAAAACCATTGGTCACGGCATCAGAAATATCACGAAATACTGTAAAGCATGCATTTGCCTCCCTCCACACCCAAGAAAAAAAAAAAAAAAAAAAAACACGCGAGCACATACAAACACAGTGAATCAAATTTGGTACATTCTAAGCTGCACAAAAGTTAATTTGACGTCAAAGAGGCAGTTTTGGAATTAAATGTGGCAACAATACATTATATTTCCATTGAATATATTGATTCATCGAGAGAGCAAACCTGCTTCAAGATCAAGCATTTGAATAAGCATAAATGTGATGTTCACCCCAGCTACAGCAAATGGGTATTCCCATAGAGACCGATCTCCTTCCTGCTTTCGAAGAAGATCCTGGAATGACTTCTGTAATGCATTCCAAAAACTTTAGGGTTAAAAGACGATAACCGTAAGCGCATATGGATGGTCGAAGCTGAAACTGTACCACAGTAAAATTCTTTACTTTTTAGTTAGTTTGTTTGTTTGCTTACTTGATTCTTCTTCTTTTTCTTTCCTTTTTTTTTTTTTTTTTTTGGTAAAATATTCACATGCATGTACTCATCAGTAAATGTCTAGGTTTGTCTGTGAAAATCAGTATATCCAATTTTCATTTAATAACTTTAGGTTCCTTTTATCCAAAAGCAAACTAAGTCAAAACTCCAAGGAGTTAAAAAGCAAGGTGTCAAAAAGTTGCATACCGGAAAATTTCTGGCAAAGAATAACAAGTTCTCCAATGAAATAAAACCACCACCCCTAGAGATAAAACACAATAAATAAGAATTAACACAGGAATAACTGCAACAAGAAAACATAAGAGCTATTCATTTCAAGTATGAGCTACAGCGTAATTCTTAGTTACCTAAAATCTGTCGATGGATCCTTTCCTTGCCAGCCCATTTCCTTCCACTGCTCAGATATCAAACCACGAAGTTCTTCCTCCGGGAAGGCCACATTCCATAGAGCCCTTAGAGCCTCCTATCAAGAGTCCAAATCTTCATAAAGGCTTCATAAAGGAGAAAAACTAAACAATAATCATCTCAGGTTCTCCCTCCACCAGACACGCAGAATCTTTATATTTTACATCGTACAGGACAAAAACGTTGCGCAGAAAACAAACCTGGTGCTCAAGGATTGAACTATCATAAGCAATATCTATGCGGTTCTGCAGTCTCAGCAAGCATTCCTCCTAATAAAAGAACCAACATGTGCTGTGATTTTGAGATACTGATTCTATCTTAAAACAGTTAACAAAAGTAGTTTGTGTATTGTTCCTCTAGAGATATGAAAACTACAAAGGAATGCTGCAGGAGTGTCAAAGACCAATCAAAGAACTATATTCAAATTTAAATTAAACCAATAAAATCAATTATCAGAGTGCACTGCACATAAATTGTTTGCACCTCAAGGATTTACTTTTGAATGCGCGAAAATTATTTGGAAGGAGAAAAATTAAGTTTAAACAGGTGTAGATGAAGGCAATGAACACTTTGTATGAAATGAAATTTCAGAAATTGTTTGTGTATTCCAACTATGAACAAGCAAAATTTACTTGTTCATGTGAAAGAAATTTTATTGCCCTCTTCTATAAATACGGGTATTGGAACTTGGCTATTCGACATCCATTAAGTATGAAAATATTAAGAACATAGTAGAAAACCCTAGCACTCTTAAACTGCATATCCATCCGGCTTTGTCTTATCCAACCATGTCTACTAAAATGCAACAATAAAGCACTCTTAAAATTACTGGATGAGAGAGTATAGAGGATGTTTTAGAAAAATGGAATCCTCGTGACTAGTAAACGAATTAAAAAAGAAAAAAAGGAACACAAGTGGACCAACAAAGACTTAATGCCATTTTCAGTGCTCTCTCACTAAAAGAATTCAAATTGAATAGCTTACTACAGCAAGGAGACTTAGGATATTTTACACATCATTCATGAAAGATAAGTGCACAGTGTAAAGCTAGACTTACACTAGACTGAAACTACAATTCAATTCAAATAAGCATAAGCCCACAAGTTCTAAAAGTTATAATCTGATCTCCATCCTCATCATGGCAGACAATGAAAGAGTAACCCATTACCTTTAACCACAGTTTTGAGAGACACCGAAGCTCTTTTGTTAAATCACAAATCACTCACAAAAGAATATGCAGCAGCACAAAGAACAAGAGCATAAAGGACTATCATTTGAATTCTTAACAGTGGATGACAATTATGAGCATATGTTTTTTTAAAAAGAAGACGCCCAAAAAACAAAGAAACGAGATAATCCTTTTCTTTTCTTTCTACATTACACATTGCTACAGCTCCCTTCATAGTCCATCTAAGTGGTGTAAGCTTAAGAAAAAAGCAAACAGAAAAATAAACTACTAACTCTCCAGCCTCCAAACACATCGTCAAATCAAAATAATAGTTAAAATAAGACTCCTTCCCATTCAACGAAAATGGAAGTTAACAGTCACCAAATGCATAAAGTTACCTGTGCAGAGGTTAAGTCAAATGATGAGCGCGCATCACTTTCTCTTCTCTGTGCACAAACACAAGAAAGACCCCGGCCAAGCCATGCAGCTGATCCTGCCACAACCTCAGCTGAAATAAAACAAAAGCAGATCAATAATGACAATTCAAGTTTTCAACTATCAATTACAAAGTCCTCTAATCCTGTAGACAGCTATATAAATGTATATGTTAAAAAACAAAACACACGCAACAGTTCATGTATATGCTATTAAACTTAATTTCCTTGCTAGTTGCTATCCAACTTATTCATGGTTTCCCGAGCTTGAATATATGGTTAAGGTACGTCTTTCAGAAGTCCAACGAAAAGCCATAATTTATGAAAGGGAAACCAGTACAAGTTTCTGATAACTGAATAAGAGGGTTCTAAAGTGGCAGAGATATTAGATAATGCTAAGGAAAATGTCACTCTAACACAGCAAAACAAATTTGAAAATGGAAAGAAGAGAAAAGTACAGAACATTGTCCTACTAACACAGGATAAGGTGGAGCCATGGAGGGAGCTGTTTATGCAAGAAATAGCACAAATTTGAAAATAAATTCACAGCAAATAACACATATTGAAAGCACTAATGCTACAAAGTCGATTTGATCATTACAATTCGTTTTTCCTAACTCATGATTTGAACTTGAAATATAGTTACTTGCGAATAATCTATATTTGGGTCAGTCAAGTAAAAAACAGGGGTAAGTACTGAGTAAAAATGAGGAGAGATCTTGCGTCATTCCAAAACACTGATTGTAATTGCAGAATATTTCTCCACGAGCAAAAACAAGAATTAATGGCACAGTAAAAAAAATAAAAATAAATAGTATATTTTCAGTATAGAACAGGATTAGAATATGCAGTAGAGATAACGCGCCATCAACGAAGAAAAATACAAACGCCACAAAAGGTGTTTGAGTTATGTCAAGCAACTAAGGCAGGCTTGCGTCCTGCCATCACGTTCATCCAACAATCAACGGTACATAGGAGAAAATAATAATCTAATCAGAAAAAAACGTGGTTAATTAATGAGTTTCATGACTTCTGCCGGAAAGATCTATATCTTCCACAAATTTCAATGGACAACGTACAATGCAATAAATTTTTTAAAAAACTGGAAAATGAATCCGAAACTAATCTGAATATCAAAATCACGAACTTCCGGTACTTGATTCACAAATATAACATAAACAATGAAGGAACAGTCGAAGAGGAGCTGGAAAAATAAAAAAAATCCCGCTGAGTAGACCCACCAATACAGATTTGAATCTCAGCAAGCATGAAGCCAGTAAGAGCCTCAGTATAAGCAGAGCTTAGCGCACATTACTCAACTTCAAGTCACAGATCTAAACTTCTAAACCAAAAAGTAAACCGTAAATTAAGAATAAGATAAAGAAAAGAAAGCAAAAGGGAGAGAAAGAGAGAGAGATAACTTTTCAGCAAAAGAAAAGCGAAGACGAAAAATTCTAATTTTAATGTACAGAAGAAGTAGTGGGAGACAGAGATGCCGAAATTCAAGATAATATTCACCTGAAGACGAATGGCAAGTATTTCCTCGCTCCAGTCCTTGAGAAATCCTCCTCACAGCAACAAACGATCCACCACCTCTATCGTCCATCTCGCCGTTCTCTACGTCAGACCGTCATATCCCTCACCAGCACCACAGCAGCTTCCCACTCCTTATCCTTACAACAAAACCTCTGACATTGAAATTCATCCAACACAAACAAGAATCACAAGAGCAATTAGAATAACAACGTTAGACGAAGCTAAATCCAGAATCGCAGAAATCCAGCAGAAAAAAAGAAACCAGACTCAATCCAGACACTTCAGAGCAGAGAAAATGCAGAGGGAAAGAAACAACTGATAAGGATCCGAAACCAGTACATCAGCAGAGCAGAATTACGGCAACCAGAAACAACAGACGACACAATCGAAGGAGGTAAAACGGCGGCAAGAACGGGGGATAGATGATATCAAGGTAAGAAAAAACGACAAAAAAGAGAGGAATGAAATAGGATGAAGGGAGAAGGAATTTGAACCTGGAAATCGGCTAGGTTAGGTGCAAGATCTGAGAGCGAGAGTCCATGGAAGTTGGTTCAGAGGTCGTGTTGTTCTGTGAATGTATATGGATTTGCAATTGTATTATCTTCTTCCTCAGTGTTTCAAAAAGCGTTTTGGTTTTGGTTTTTGGTACAACTGAGACACCAAGGAGCGTTAGGCGTTTTTTTTTTTTTTTTTTTTTTTTTTTTTTTTTTTTTTTTTTTTTTTTTTTTTT